TAGATATAATGTATTTCATTATACTTAAATTTAAAATAAGGAGTTGCTATCATCATTGAATCGTAGTGAAATTTATGGAAAACGTTTGAAAAATATATTTTTCGGATTAAGCTTATTTGGAATTTGGTAAAATCGCTCTTCCGTATATTTAAGGAGTAATGACACATGACTAAGGCATTTATCAAAATTAAAATGATAAAGCTTTGTATAGAAATAATTATTCTTCTTACGGAAACTTGTTACTTATTTTTAGTAAAATATATCTTCGACATAATTACTTAAAATTCTACCCCATTTAATGGGATGATTAAAATTTGCGTTAATAGCAACATTTTACTGGTCATATTTATGTGTTTTCTAAGTACTACTCCTTGTAAAAGAATATAGTAAGAAGTTATTTTTTTTTATAGTATGAAAATTTTACTATTATTTTATTTTTATTTTATTTTATTTTTATTTATTAGGGAAACAAACAGTACAAATTGATACAAATTAAAAAACAAAACATAAAATATAAATCATTGACCAATAAAGTTTCCACAATTAAATAGTACATAGAATAATGCGAGCAAATTAATTACAATAAAAAAAAAATTAACATTAAATAAAATAATAATCATATGAATAGAAAATAATTAATGTTTTAGTAATAATTACATAATTATAGTTAATAAAGAGTCGCAAATATAATTTGATACAAATAAAAATAATTTAAACTAGGTCATTTTTTTAATTTGTTGAGTTAACTTCTGTAACGAACCCGTAAAGTAATCAATTGAACAGTATTCTTTGTTATATAATAAACAAGAACGATGAATGAAGGCATTTTGTGCATATTTGGTACGTGTAGTATTTAAATAAAATAAAGATTTAATTCGCGAAGATTGTCTTGGACATGTACCTACTTATGTAAAATTTTAAAAATCTTACAATATCTCTGCATAGTGCATACATACAGTGACATAAGCTGTACTTAGGCTGGATGTGTATGAACTACTTATTGTATTTACCTACTTTATTCGCTTTAATTTTTGAAAAGAACTTAACTGATAATATATTTTGTAAATCAAAAAACTTATATAAACATATGTTATATGTACGTATACGCCGCATATGGAAAAAGCAATAACCGAAGTTTATTTTCCTAAGAGCTTGAATAGGAAACAAATACGGTCGCAGTGATTCCGCGACGGATCGCTGTGTTTGCCAACCGATCGCTCCTTGGGGACGCTACTTGAACGGTTTCTCTCGCAATACAATAAATATCACGTTTCTTAAACTGGTACGGAAAATTTAGTTCTTGTTCTTTAAAAAAAATTACTTGCTTTTTAAAATTTAACTACTTTATACCTTTGTAATAAGTAAAGATAATGTTTTAATAAATAAAAATGATTGCCTTAAAGTACAATGATAAACAAGAAGATATAGTGACTGCTTTCGGTTCTCCGCAGGTATTCTACAGCATAGAGTAAAGTAAAGACTAATTAAGACTATGACTACACACGGTACACTTAGTGTATACAGTATACACCGAGTGTCTATGTGAACACGATTATCTCTAATTGTGAAATTTATTGTAACAAGAGGCATATCATCTTAGTCCTCACAGTGACATCGCACCTGCGGTTCTGTATCATAAAACTTACAGACAGGTACCACTTTCCATCAGGTGGGCTGTCTGCTCGTTTGTCACTGAATACCATAAAAAAAGTGTCATATCAGCGGCTGTGTGAACACGTTGTGTAGAAATGTCTCGAGTGCTTGAAAAGTTTTCGAACAGGTTCGACATTTTCAATACTCCTCACGGCATAGAAGATAGCACTTAAAAATGAGTTTCACGTGGAGCAAGGAGTGTAAATAGCTCGGACACAGATTATTTACTTACATTTATATACAAACTTCTTACTAATATACTACTCAGACGCGAAAATTTCGTAAAAGTGTAAACAATACAGAAATTAATGTCTAACAAAGAACATTGAATGAACATTTACGTCGCAATTTGTGTCATAGTCTAAACTTAGCCTTATATTCTAGACCGACAGCAGTACAAGTCAAATGTATGATTATCATTCAAATCTGTACATATAATAAAACTAACAGATCCCGCGGCTTCGCTCGCGCTAAAGCTATAAAAAAAACTTTGAAATGGTAGGTTTCATACAAACTTTCATCCGATATTTTACCCCTCTATGGGATGAATTTCGAAAAATGCTAATACATGTATTTATTTAATTGTATTGAAGAGAATTAATACCAAGTTTCAAGTAATACTAATCATAAATATTTTTTGGGTTGTATTATAAAGTATTTTCCGGTGATAACTAGATAATCTCCCTTGGTAAAAAGTAGCCTATGTAACTTTCTAGCAATTCAACTATCTCCACACAAAAAATCACGCCAATCTGTCTCTCCGTTTCTACGTGAAAGAAGGACAAGCAAACAAAAAAACAAACACACTTTCACATTTATATAATAAGTATGGAAGTATAGATTCTAACTGATTCGAATCTGTACATTAAATATTTTTTTGGAAAATCTTATTGAAATAATCATTATTATCGATACAAAGGCCGAATCTATAGTTTTCACAATTTTTGTCTATCCGTCTGGGAACGATCATGAGAAAGCCACTGGAGAGATTTTAATGTAATTTGGTATGATAATAGCTGGTTACCCTGCTCAAGATATAAGATACTTTTTACTGGGAAAATATCTCATGTCTGAGTGAGTTAAAACATAGGGACCTAGGGACGAAGCCGAGCGGAGCGAGGGTGAGCCGCTTGTTCTATCATATTACCACAAAAACAGTTCATACAAAAAAGAATTATAATTTTTAAAGCAAAATCAACTAATATCTAAAGCGCAAAAATAAATTATTATCATTTTATATCAATAAAAATCCTTTGTTTTCTATCTTTTTAAAATATTTCTGTTTATATTATTATTTTTAATAAAAATCACAAGAAACCTGAATAGAATTCGTATTGCCTACATTATGAAATTTTAATATATTTTATCTATGAAGACTTACTTGTTATTAGTAATTTTAATATGCTATATCAAAAAATAAATTGCTTTATACTTGTGTAGTTAGATATAATATTAAAATAATATATAAATGCCCATGGCTATATAAGTAAACATAATCTTAAAAGTAAATAAAACCCTTAAATTATTTGTAATATTATAATAATATAACGGATTATACAAGTAGGTTAAATCTAAACAACTCTAAGTAATTTATGTATTTCAACTTTAAGTAATTTATGTATTTTTGAATCTACTCGACTATTTTATTATATTCACGTCCATATATAAATAATAAGAATAATTTGTGGCACTAAATATTTTAAGTACGGCTTATTATTATTATTAGAAAAATACATGCAACATTATTAAATTATCATAATTATTGATGCAATACACTATAGACACTTAGATTTAATTATTGAGTAATATCGAAATCCAATTTCCGACTGTCGCACACTAACGTATAGTTCATACGTATGTATACATACATATATGTATGTATAAGAAAATGGTGTAGATTTGAATAATGTCTATGTTAATACGCTTACAGGTGAGTGCAAACGGGCGGGCCGGCCGTAGCCCCGCCCTCGTTGCCATTGTCTCCCAGTTTCATCGCAATCGCTCGAAATTGAATAAATTAAAGCCAAATTTAATTTCTCTATTAAGTTTCTGCCGACACAAACAACTCTTGACGTATGCTGGTCCGTTATCGGGGATGGTTATTAAATTAGTTTCGGATGCTTACCCGAGGGTTGTTGAAAGCTTTTTACATTGATTATTATCGTGTATTTATATAAAATATTGTTTATTAGGTTCTTTTTCTTTATTAAATATTTTTCCTTCATTTAATATTATAGAAAAGTTTAATTTGTAAGTAGATTAAAAGTTAAGGTAGGCTAAATTGATACAGAAAAATCTGATGATACCGACGCGAAACGAGGATGACGAGGCACATTATATTGCATATAACTTGTATAATAATAGATCTTATAAAAGCACTATAAACGCCCACATCAGAAATGTTACCCAAATTTTAAAATATCTTTAAATTTCTGGTTTTTTTTCAGACGATAAAAAGCCTAAGTACTAAAAATAGTATTTTACTGCGTATCTCATAAACTTTTGTATATCAAAAAAGAAAAAATATAGACCCTTTCCATACTCAACATAAAAGTCTTTACATACAAGTCTTCACTAAAAAGTCTTTAAAACTAAATTATTTTTCTTTAAAAACACGACTACTCTAGTTAAAGTTACTTTGGGTATAGAAAGTATGTTTACGTTTCATACTTAGAAATATATTATATACCTACACAAAAACGAATTACTTTATATTAATTAAGGTACAATAGAAAATACCCTGATTAGCAGCTTATTTAAAGAATCAAAAACGTATAGTGATAATCTATATAAATATTTAATAGTTAAATTCTTTACGATTCTATCAAAAATGCAATAATATATATGTTCAGAAGACCAAAAACAAAATTCTTAGGTTTTACATATTAGTATACTCTTACATTGCAGTTTTTGTATTTTTTCTCAGAAATGAGATAGTTTCCCGCGGTAAAAATATCCTATATGTTGACCCGGATCATCAAAATCCCTGCAGTGGTTTTTCTGTGATGCGGTAACAGACCGACAGACAGACAGACAAAAATTCTAAAAACTGTAGATTCGGCCTCTGTATCGATAATAATATTAATTTCAATAAGATTTTCCAAAAAGTATTTAATGTACAGATTCGGCTTGGTTACAATTTTATTATGTGTATAGATAATATATCATACAGTAATGAAAGAAACAAGAGAATGTATCCTGTATGTGATATATAAATAATTTGATCTCCTACTAATAAGGTAAACTTAATATTACCATGCAATAAGTGCTCTCAATAATTATAAATTTTACATAACATGCTTTATATCCAGGCAGCGTGCTCCGTGTACAAAATAAAAAAAACTTACCACAATTAGACGTAAACAAAACACGAAGATATGTAAGACTAATTTAAATTTTCCTACGTTATATTCCTACGTTATATTTTTATCCATATGTCCTAGATATGTTAATTTAGTTTGATATGTCCTATATTGATATTCTTTAGACTGGTTGTTGTATGCAAATACTCTGATGTTGTAGAGTAGAATCAATCAATATATAGTCATTTAAATAAATAATTATTATTTGATTAGAATACCTACACATTATACATAATTACTTCGGAGGGCATCACTCTTAAAGATTGTATGCACCTTATAAAACTCTACAGGCTTTTCTGATATGATCACTAAAATCACTTTGTATGTTTTTAAATAAATCGATGATGTTTTTTCATGTTTATTTTCGGTACTTGTGGCGATACCACCCTTAAGAGTGATGCGCCCCCGGCGAACGCGCCACGTGACTGCCGCTTTGCACAACCTTTGTGTTTACATCCACCCTCAGCCCCCACCTCATTCCTACATTTCTCCATCCCCACTTGCCGCATTTATGTTTTTCCTTGCAGAAGAAAATATTTCGATATAAAAACCAAAAATCTATTTTAACTCAAAATATTAACAAGAAAATAGCAGATACTAAAAGCACTACAAAAGAAAATAATATCATCTTAAGTGCAAGTGCTTAAAAATAACTATTCAAAAAGAAAAACTCTTTTAAATACATTTTAACAGCTGTTATATACTTTAAATCTAAAAAGCTTTAAATATATACTATGTAGCAATATACTCTATGATATATACTTAGATATTATGAAGAAGCAATTACAAAAATAATATTAATTTAAACCGATTATGATAATTCCATATTTATAACAAGTGGCTTTGTACTAAATAGCCGGCGTCGATTCCGTCCGCGTGGAAAAGGAGATAAGGAGCTTTATGCCATAAAATTGTAGTGTGAGGGAACAAATTGGCTTTCTAACTAAGATATATTTTCTTAAATGTAACTGATAAAGTGAGATGATAAATGTTTTTCAGAGTCTACATTTTTATAGCTAGAATTTGCAGATTTATGGCGATATAAATTGTGTTTTTATAAACGACTTTTATTTAAGTTCTAAACCATTACATATACATATATGTTATAATATTATCTAATATATTCTATTTTTATAGTGCTTCCATACAGAATTACCTACACTAATATATTTCAATATATTCTTGAATAAACAAAGAATATACAATGATGATAATAATGTGACTTGTTCAAATACGATTTATCTATATATTTTTTAAACTAGGTGCTTTTTCCTACGCTATCTCCTATTGTTTCATTAAAATTTAATAAAAAATGCTTCATACTAAATTTTCTATTATTATATTATATTTATTATTTGAAATAATTCTACTATAAAAAAAAATTTTTGGAAACTAGCGACTCACCCTGGCTTCGCTCGGTTTCGTCCCTAGGTTGTTTGGTAGGTTGATTCCCCATACAAATTTTCATTTTCACCACCTTAAGGGATAATTTCCAGGATAAAAATTATCCGATGTCCTTACCAGGGTCTCAAACTATCTTCTTACCAAATTTCATTTAAATGGATTCAATAGTTTCGGAGCCTGTTCGGTACAAACAAACAAACAAAAAATCAAATATTTAGCCTTACATTTTGCATTGTTTACATTTGAAAATATTGCATTGTTAAAATCAATCTAGGTTATAATCCTTCACCTTTTTGAAAAATTATTATATTAAAATTAAAAACTATATCGAAAATAATTTTATTTTGATACCTTGATAATTTTTATTAAATAAAAAAGTTTATCGCTCTTTATATTAGTGAAAACTGTATCAAAAGCAGTTGCGTGGTTTAGAAGAAGTGAGCAGAGAAACAGGCAGAGGGAGACATCGACTTTGTTTCATACTATATATAAGATATACCTACACATACCTATGTACAATGTAACAACAACAAGGACAACTTGGGAGAACCAGTTATTGTGTTTTCCCGTAGGAATTAGAAATTCCTGTAGTAAAGTGAATCTTATAATAGTAAATCTTCAATGTTGATCCGAATAATACTTTTTCACCACACAAAGTTTAGTTAAAATCCGTTCTGTACTTTTTGCCTGAAATGCTCACAAACATACTAAAAAAAATTCAACAACTATAGTTTTTGGGTCTATAATCCGTACACAATATGTACAGTCATAGTTTTAAAAAATATTTCGTTAGCAGATTTGACTTTGTTACTATTTTATTATATGACGTAGACGTACGTCTACTTCTCGATACTTTTCTATTTTCACTATTTCTTTTTAAAATTATTTCTTGACAGAAAAATAATATTTATAAACAATACAGCCTAAATCAAAACAAAGTGTTTTTAACACTTAATTTTTTAATTAATCCGATAGTAGAAACCGTGTCAGGGACTCAGCACGAAACACAAAAGTTTACCCTTTTTGTTTCATGCTGGGTTTTCAAATAAAATGTTCTAATTTGTTTTTGAATAATGGGTGTTAAATACAAGCTCTTGCTCACGACTTCTCGAATATAGGATTAATCTCTGTATTTAAGTGTAATGTGTAATTTTAAAAAAGCTTGTGCATACAATATTTTGTCTAATATCTTGTCGAAATTATGCCGTATTGACAAATATTTAATAATATAAATAAACGTAGAATTTACCCCAGAATTAAAAAAACTTACTAAATTATGATGTCCATAAATAATTTCTGGTAATCAACAAAACCTACCGGGAAGTATATATTTTATATGTGGTAATTGGAGTTCAAAATCACTTAGTATAGGTTTTTTTTTATATATAGGTATATAATGCAGATGATATTATGCAAGAAGATATCGCGTTTTTTTTATTAGTTTAAAAGTATAATTAAAGTGTGCGTGCATCAATATGTACACGCATAAGTGAAATATCCGTAGATTATCGGTACTTTTTATGAAATAATTCAATTTATGTTTTAAATATTTCGTATAGGATAGATACTACAAAATATTTTTTTATTAATTTAAAAAGGAATACAATACTTTAATATTCACATAGGTACCTACAGATGGGTTAACATAAAATTTAATTTTCAATCAAATGTTGTAATGATTCATCAAATAATCATTATACTATATATGTAGGGCCACGTCAAAGATCGTATACGAACGACCTCCTTAACATTTACGCTCGCCCGGTACTTGTGATGACGTCGCATGGAATGCTAATAATTTTTTTTTTAACAATATTCATCTATTTATATAAAAAGTAAAAGTGAGTGACTGATGTATCAACGCACACGTCAAACCCTTAAGGCTACAAAATTGAATTTTCGCACACGTAGTCCTCTTATGATGTAGGCATCCACTGAGGAAGGGTTTTTCAAAAGTAAACCCCCAACTCACCCCCAAGGGGGTGAAATAGGGGATAAAAATTTGTATGAAACTTTTTATTCCTTGGACATAATTTATTTGTATGAAATTTCGTATGAATTGAAGTGTAAACGTGTAGTATACAATGACTTTGTACTTAAAATATATAATATGGTTTTGAGACTAATATATACTTAATTATCTTTGCGCCTTGCATTTTTTGGTTAAGAATGATCCAAAAAAACTACTCATTCTTTTGGTACAACATAAGAATACTCAAGGTTACTTTAATATCAAAAGCTTTTATGTCCCGTTGCCTTTAGCTCTACCGCGACTACAGGAAGTGAAGTTCGAAGCTGTTATAAAATTATTTTTGGTATGAATTTCATTCGATGTAAAAAGACTAAGCAAAATATTTTTCGTCTTTTACTATTATAGCTGCTGTGCCAAATCTATACAAAACACAAAGAAACTTTCGTACAATATTAATTAAAGATAAAAATTAAGAGAAAAATTTAAGATAAAATAAATAAGTTAGAAAGACTTTCCAGGGGAAAAGTATCTTAAATTCTCACCCGATTCTCACAAGTGTTTTTCATATGACCTGTGGCCAGATAAAGATATATAAACTATAATTATTAACTCGCTTATCTATTGGCTTCACTTGTTAATCAAATCTTGGAAGTCGACTTTAACACGTAACTTATAATTCTCCTGTGAATTGGAAACTTTTAACGTTTTTACCCGGATAACATTACAGTAATTTGAGAAACTAACGAGCTGATCTATTTATGGAGTCTTAAAGTTGTGTAATGCAACTCTTCAATAACTTCGAGTATACGTAATATTTCATCGTATTAAACTATGAGAAACAAACTAAAGCTTGAGGTCAAACGCGTGAAAACGATAACACCCCATATCTCAGAAACTACTTAATATATTTTGTTCAAAATAAATGTCTTTAAATAAAAGTAAAATGAAAATATTAAGCAACACGAGTGCCACATTTATAAATTTATAAAGTATTTTGATATAGAAAATATAATCTTATTTTTTTCAGCCGACTCATAAATGTACATATGTATCAAATGTTAGGAAATGGGGGGTGGACACAATGCTATGACTTTAGAAGCATACCTATAACTTTGCAACTATTATTGACTTGAACATAAAAAGTCACTTCTACCTTTTCAAAGACCTATTTAAAATATACTATACGTCTTCATAGACTTAAAATTTTTTATTCACCCTTTGTGAAATGGAGTATTTTTTTAGTTTGATTAAGTAATTGTTTTTCGGTTTGTTGTGTTAATGTAGCTCTAATATAATCTTCGAGTACAATGGCTTTGACATACGAACATAGCGAAATTATAAGGGTTCTATCATAGCTATTTATTTGGCTATGGAACCTTAAAACCACAAACTTAGCGCGACGGGGGACTTTCGTTTATAATATTTACTGAAACTTAATTATAATAACGGATAATATATATTTAATTTTGTACGATCAATAAATAATTTATATTGCTATTGCAAGAAATAGTTTATAGATTACCTACGTAATATTGTTATGTTCTACGAGTTCGGGGTCGGAAAACTAAGTACCTCTTTTGCACTATAAATATTTTATTACCTTGAGTTCGTAACAGTCACGTATGAAGTTTCACAAACAGACGAAATACACACACAATGATAGCGTTATTAATTTTAAGTTCAGTCACTGAACACTAAATTTCACCACTAGTTACACTTTCACTATAACTTCACTCCACTTCTCTTCACTTTTTCGTATTCTCTCAGCTCCGAAATGAAACTAATCTCTCAACACACTGCCGAACTTTTTATATGCATAAAGAAATTACATTGCAGTATTTGAAAATTCGAAACTTTTCTAGTAATTTTAATTTCTTTCTGGAAAATATTTTGTTCCTCTCTTACACACCTCAATTTACAATTAACTGTTCTTGTCTGATAATTGTCATGTGTTGACAACTGTCTTAGGATATATAAAGCGTACTTCAGACGTGCCTTTTTAATTATTATTTTTCATGTAATGACGTTTCACACTCTCCATCCACTACGCGACAATATACGAGTATTATAGTGAATTTATCTGGAATTAAAAAAAGATGGAAATATCATTTCTTAAACATTGTTTACCGCATA